TGTGCTGCTGGAGTATATAGAGGGGGTCACAAACATTAAAAAGTTTGAACCCATCATTGATCCGATAGACACTCTTCAAAGTATATATTTCAATTTATTAATACCGCTACCACGCTCGTTTCAAAAACGGCAGTTATTTTTGTACTTGTTGTGATTATCCTTGTACTTGTTGCACCAAAAGTGCTTTGGCTAAGGTTTGAACCTTTTGCTAAACGTTGTCCTTTGGTACTTTTTTTACTTATTGACTGACACTCGTGTTCACATTGTGATCATATTGTGTTTTAAACCTTTCTAATCAAATTACAATGGTTAGTAAGACTCATAAATGTGGGAAACCAAACTGCTTGTTCCCCGTTGGGAAGGGAATGCAGTGCGATGAATGTAAAAGGTGGTACCATAAGTTCTGTACACGTCTAAGTCCTACGGCATACAAAAGATGTTTGAAGCCTAGCTCACACTGGCTTTGTATGTTTTGCTGTACAAATAAAAAGTTACTAATTTAGGAGGCTATGAGCCTATTGGCTTCGGCCTGTAAGAAAACTGATGGCGGGTGCGCTGATAACACGAGCACTGACGGTGAAGAATGTGTCAGTGTAGTACATGCTGCTACCGGACCCGCTAAACACCCGACTGTGATTGACAGGAAAGTGAAATCTCCGTTAACATTAACGAGGAGTGAATTGCCGCTTGATATTGACATCGGTAAGCATACACTTCAAGTGGAAATTGAAGACCCGGATAAAACTGTCACCGTCCAAACAGTCCCGGGGTGGCTGTCCTGAGTGATGATAAATGGACTTCAGTAAGGAGAAGAAGAAAGGAGAAGAAAAAAGCTGTGGGCAAAACGCGGCTGGTTGGCAAGTCATTGGAATAGACGGTGTCAGAGAAAAAACTCCACTGCGTGTCAAGACAGATCTCTCTGAGAGATCAGTCATTTTTCATAAGTGAAGAGAATCTTCCGATAAGGAACCAAAGGCTAGATTTGAACACGATCTCAGTCATATTAAGTCCTTAATAAGCAAACTACTCCCAGATACAGTTTCAGGAGTTGGTATTTGTAAGCGTTACAGAATAAGACAAAAGGTGTATTCTGAAAGTCCTCCGAAAAACCGCCTCTTGAAGGTTACATTTGCCACGGTTGAAGAAAGGAATCTGATTCTAGGTAACTCACGTAAACTGACTGGATCCGGAATATATGTCCGTGAGGATCTCAGCCTAGCAGATCGTATTAAGAGACGAGCTGCAGAAGCGGAAATAAATGGACGTCGCCAAAACGGGGAACGAAACCTTGTTCTTGAGGGTTTTCAAGTTGTAAAAGTTCGGGTGGGAAAGCTCTCCACAGACTTAACGGTATGCCACACAAATGCTCGCAGCCTACTAAATAAAATGGCGGAGTTCAAGTCAGTGGTGGATAAAGAAAAAGCGGATGTTATTGCTGTCTCGGAAACTTGGTTAACGTCAGAAGTATTAGATAGTGAAATCCAGTTGACTGGTTTCATAACCAGAAGGGCTGATAGATTAAACCGTAGGGGAGGCGGGGTTATTCTGTACACGAAAAGTACCCTAACCATAAGATTAGCTGAGACAGTAGCACATGTTTCAGGGACATGTGAACTGGTGAGATGTAAGTTGAAATGCCGACGGCAAGATATTGAATTAGTTGTAGTATATCGCAGTCCAGAATGTGTAGATGATTTTATCCTAAGTAAACTTAAGTCCTGGTGTAACAACGGTAAAAGTCTTGTAGTAGGCGACTTTAATGCACCACATATAAACTGGGTTAACTTAGAAGTAGGGTCATCCATATCGTCGTTCGACTACAAACTGTTAGAAACCTCGATTGGATTAGCATTATTCCAACACATTAGAGATCCCACAAGATACGACTTAAGAAACTCTTCCTCTCTTTTAGATTTAGTTTTCACACACGGTGATGACGTTGGTCAAACGGCTTTTCTCCCACCACTTGGGAGAAGTGACCATGCAGTCATCTTATTCAAATTCATGGCTGAGATTGCCTGTCAAACAGTTGCACCGGCCCGTCCCAACATATGGAAGGCAGATATGCAGGCAATTAACTCCGCAGCATCGGCTGAGAACTGGGAAATTGACTCAAAGGCATCAGTACAAGAGGCATGGACTCTATTCAGGCAGTTATACAATCGGGTAACTCAACCATACATACCCTGGACTGTCCCAAAGAAAAAGAAGCACGGACATCCCTGGATAGGGCGGGATATTCGACGTTTACTAAGACAAAAGAAGAAATGCTGGGATGTTGCCATCCGCCTTGGCACGATGGAACGCTACAGATCGATAAGAAACGAGTGTATAACTAAAATTCGGGAAGCTCAAAGAAAATATGAAATGCAGCTGGCACAATCTGCACTCAAGCAGCCCAAGAGAATATTCTCGTACATAAACTACAGAACAAGGATGCATCATTGGATTCCCAACCTAATTAAAGTAGGAAGTGAATCTGAAATGATAGAGGAAGATCAGGAAAAAGCAGAGGCTATGGCTGACTATTTTGGGGCAGTTTTCACTCAGGAACCTCCTCTAGAGAAAGAACCAGACCCAAATACAGAGTCAACAAACCAGCTGCTCACCGTGGACTTCGACCAAAACGATGTGCTTAAGGCTCTTAGCACCCTAAACATGGAGAAGTCAACAGGACCAGATGAACTACACCCCAAAATCTTGAGACATATTGCCCAATATATCGCAGCCCCACTGACTGTGATATTCAATATGTCACTTGACCAAGGTGTGTTACCTATGGACTGGAAGGACGCAATCGTCACTCCCATACATAAAACAGGTCCACGACAAGTTCCATCGAATTACAGACCCGTAAGCCTCACCAGTGTTGTAATTAAAATACTGGAAAGAATAATCAAACGGACCATAACGGCATTTATGGAAACCAATAACTTGCTGAACATGGCACAACATGGTTTTAGAAAGGGTCTATCCTGTACAACGAACCTCCTTATAGCTAGGGAGTTCTGGATTAATGCGCTAGACAACGGAAACTCAGTGGATGTTGTCTACATAGACTTCAGTAAGGCTTTTGACAAGGTGCCAACTAATAGACTGCTATTGAAGTTGAAAAACCTTGGTATTGCCGGACCTCTTTTAAAATGGATTAAGGATTTCCTAGTAGGTCGTAGACAAAAAGTAAGAATAAATTCCAAGTGCTCCATCTGGAGACCAGTACTTAGTGGAGTACCCCAAGGTTCCGTCTTAGGTCCTTTACTTTTTATAATGTACGTTAATGATCTTACAAGTATAGTACAGTCTCCAATGTTATTATACGCTGACGATGTAAAAATTTGGCGAGTAATAACTGGAGACAAAGACGCATTTACTCTTCAGGCAGACTTAAATAATATGATAAACTGGTCTAAAGAGTGGCTGATGCCTATCAACTCGGAAAAGTGTGTCTACATGCACTTGGGGGATTCAAAGGTTAATACGTACAACATAGGGGATGTGTCATTACCCGTAGTCCGGTCTCATAAGGATCTAGGGGTGACAGTGAGTAATGATCTTAAGACGACGGCCCATTGCCGGGAGGTCGCAGTTAAGGGGTTTCGAACCCTCTGGGCTTTAAAAAGGACATTCACTAAGTTAGATACTACCATGTTCACCACAGTATACACATCCTTAGTGAGAACTAAGCTAGAGAACTGCGCTCAGGCTGCAAGCCCCTGTTTAAAAGGTGACTCGGATATCCCAGAAAAAGTACAGAGAGCAGCTACCCGTGCGATTCCGGAACTCCGGGGTTCACCATACAAAGAGCGGCTTGAAAAACTGGACCTCTTTACTCTGTCCTATCGCAGACTAAGGGGAGATCTAATTTTGATGTACAGAATACTGAGAAATGATTTCGGGCCTAACTTATTCTCTCTTTTTTCCCACTAGATTGGGACACCTCAGAGGACATAGTAGGCGAGTAGAAAAGCCAAGAACGAACAAAATACCCGTGGCATACAGGTTTTCACACCGCGTCATCAATACTTGGAACCTGCTTTCCGAACCAGTGGTGTCCGCACCTTCAATTGACTCTTTCAAGAGGAGACTGGACACTCACAGAAGCATACCAGAAAAGGAATAACATAGGCAGTAGTCCTTCTGTCCTTACTACACAAATCCGAATATGTGTTTGTTTAAACTATCTACCTCCTCAACACTTGTTTCCTGTTGTTAGATTCACTTCCAAAATTCCGGCTTCCGTACACATGGAATACTTTTTAGGCTTATTTGTGTGTTTTCCTCTCCTTTCGATTGTACTGGACGATGGACTTACTGTGTCTGATAGATTTAATATCACTAGATAGTGGCTTATTTGGTATTGCTAGACCAGAGTAAGAAAATAAGAAGGGTGGAAAGTTCGAAACTATTGGATAGACGAGTTACTTCTAGTAACTGCGATGTTAAATACGAATGAAAATAACGATAGTATGTTCTAGAAACGGTATACAATGCATGCCGATTAACAGGCATGATCAGGTTGACAGTGATTGGAAAGGTGATATAGATAATCAGGGCTTGACAATACTTTTGTCCGTTCGATCTTTATACTCGGGAGATCCCAGTTTCAGCCAAACTGGTAACATTGAAGCTTATTTTAAGCCACTCATACGGTAAAACTTTCCACTTAAACTCCCAGGATTATTTGACCCTATTTAAAGTATAAAAATTTAATGTTTCTACTCTTACTCAAAAAGGATAAGGACACTCTGGAACGTATCTAAAGACAAACAACAAAATCGTTTCAGGAACTTAAATTCAGGCCTTTTGAAGAACTCCTCGAATCCCTGAAACCCGATTGACAACATGCATGTCAGAAATCCGAGAGAATATGGCAGAACTGACTATAGAAACACCTTATAATCCTTACTCATTGACGAATTTTGGAGTCCGTCATCATTTGAGCTATCCTAAGCGAAACCAGCTGTCAGCAATAAAAGCGTTCAAAGATAAAGTTAAAAGATTTAAAAATAAATTAGAGTTGAAAATGACACATTATATGTAAAACGTACTCTGATTTGATCTTGGTCACAATGTCCACGTTCATATGCAATACACGCCAAATGTGGATCACGCTTTTCACAGTATTTACCGACAACAGAGCTATTATAATACTGATTTTCCCTCAAGAAACGTTCAGGATTGTTATTAAGGTCAATGTAAATCTTTGCTAGGGCATTGTGTGTAGCAGGCTCAACAGAACCTTCATGTACACGTGATTCAAGCCATGGCAGTAGTAACTTCAGCCGATTGCGCTTTTCCACCTCTGCAACAAGTTCATCAGTATTGAACTGACCTGCAAAAATAAATAAATAACGAGAGTGTTATACTTTATTAACTACTTCTTGAGCTTACAAGTAGGAAAAATTATAAACGTACCACGAACAACGGCCATCAACTGCTTTATTATATCCTCTGAACAATCAACATCTAAAAGACCTCCAACAACCACTGGTAAACGGGCTGGATTAACTTTTTGCACATAAATCTCAATGTATTTCTGCAAATTATTACGAAACAAATAAAGGACGAGATCATGAACAAAATCGAAGCGATCGCAGACAATAATAAGAGGTAATTGATCCGTAAGTTTTGCCTCCTGAAAAAAAGTATATGTTACATCATAAGAACCATAAAAGAAATCTGATTAATATTATTTTAACAGAAATTGGAATATTAGCTGAAAGCATCAGTATTGGCAGCAATCTCCAGTAGCCGTAACTGTTCATGCTTACTTTTTTGAAATAGAACTACCAAACTTCCAAAACTAATATGAAGTCTAGAAGTACAGTCCTCACGAGAACTGCTTATTCTTATCACAGACCGGAGTTATGTGTAGTATTAGGAAGTGCCTAACAAAAATCTCTGTAGAGATGTTAAAATGTCTGTTTCTTACATTAAACTTTCACCTTAGAGTGATCATGCAAGACTTGCATAAGGAGCCTAAACTGGATGTGCCAAATTATGAAATGGACCACCAAAGCTCTCACATTATTTAGCTGACTGTTACTCTTTATTTAATGTTAGAACGAAAGATAATTAGCATTTAAATATATATCTATCATGAAACTACCACACACAAAATAAGTAAATCCTCTAGTACAGTGAAAACCTAATTTAGTGGTCACAGTAAAACCAGTTAATAGTACGAATTGAGATATATTTCGAATCAACACCACCTGTTATTGGATGAATTTTAACTAATAGAATGATACTTTGGGATTTAACGCAATACGTATTAAACTCAGAATAAAACCACATTCCCAATTATTTTAATTATGAATATATTTTTAAATACAACTGAGCAATTCTTTATCAAAACTACTGGGGTTGTGCAGTAATGATAAGATAAGCTCACGACCTTCTACATGCAATACCATCACTAGAAAAAATCCTTAGTGAAGAGAGTTACATGTGTTTAGATAAATTGTAGACAACTGATGATTCAAACTTGTAACTAGAATCGGCTAGCATAAATGAAGTTGATTACCGCAACTTTATACGTATATAATAAATGCATGAGAATAAATACTAAGATTATTACCTTAAGAAAATTTTTAACTCGTTCTGGTTCATAACAATTGCTTTCGCGACAAATACGTTCAACTTCTTTGACTTGTCCGGTTTTACAGGCAGCTTGAATATATTTAAAATGAACTTCAGGTTCTTGACTAAAATTAACAATAGACCCCAAAAAATAAAACAAGCCTTCAAATGATTTGAATGATTCGAAAATTTCGATAAGCGCATTTGTCCCCAACTGTTCGTGATACTTAGTAGCAATCTGGACACAGACGTGGAGATTTTGTCTAATGTTTGCCTGTAGCATAGCTCTCAAACACTCCAACGAATCATCGACAGAAAGTGAGCCAAAATAATTGACAAGCCACTATAAAATTTGTAAGAAAGAAACAAAAAGACTAGAAACATTCCGGATTAAAATAAGGCAAGTGAATGCTGACACCACATTTAAATACGAAAATTGGTTTAATACTTCCACAGACCAAAGAGAGAATCACTTAAACTTTCACACACATCTGGAGGAATGATGACATAAACTATACATCAGTAAAAATTGACAAAATAGCTCAAACGATTGTCTTCTAAAATCAATAACAAACACTGTATATTTACCGTTCGGAAATGTTTACCGGGTACAGTTCCAGGCCTTAATATGACACTATGGTGATAAGAAAATTGTTAGTAAACGATGGCAAGTACAAGAGAGGGCCACAAAGTGACGTAAACTGCACTCTAGTCCGTCGCGTGAATTCCGTATGATGTTGACGATTCTCTTAGTATGGAAGAAGGTTCCCTATGGTTTTCCTATCAGCAATGTAAAATTCTTTTTTATGATCAAGGAAGATGATGTACAGTGGTGGCTTTTATTCAATGGATTGTTCATCGATGGTCCGAAATGTCGTGGTTTGTTTTGTACACGACCGATGCTTACGGAAGCCGAACTGTTGATCTTGAATTTGGGCGTCTGCTGAGTTTGTCATCCGGTTCAGCGACACTCTGTTGGGAACTTTTTCCTGGTACTGACATTACGGTGTACCTCTGTAGTTCTCATATTTTCTCAGACCTTTATTTGGTATTTTGATTTGATATCCTTCTTCTCAATCTGTCGGCATTTGTTCCTCCTCTCAAATCTTCCTGAATGGATCGTATAGCATATTTGCAGTTACTTCTATACCTGACTTCAGTGCTTCAGCTGGTAGTTTGTCAGGTCCTGATGCTTTTCCTCTCTTGATTTATCTGATGACCCGTCATCCTGATTTATTCGGTCGTTGGTGGAGTGACGACTATAGGAATATATGTGAGTGCTGCTTCAATGTCCGATGGATTCAATGGAGCTGTCCAATTCAAGAGTTTCTCAAGGTGTTTTACCCATTTGTTTCTCTGTACTTGAATCTCAGTGGTTGGCTTCCCTTCTTTGTCCTTGACTGGCCCCTCTTGTTTACTATATTTCCCTGCTAGTTTCTTCGTTATGTCATATAGTTGTCTCATATTTTGATCTCTTGCATTTTTTCCGCTGTAGTCGCAAAATGTTCCATGTATCCTCACTTGTCAGCTTTAATGTTCCTCTCCACTAGCTTGTTTGCTTCAGTGTAACCAGCTTGTACCTTGTCTTTCTCTGTTTTTGTTCGGCAGTTGTTAATTTCTGTCTTCTTGTTCATTCTTTCTTGAATAATGTCCAGTGTCTCGACAGAGATCCATTCTTAGTTATAGTGACACTTGAGGTCCAGTAGCTCCTGTCACTTTAGAGTTACTGCTTCTTTGATCCGTTTCTTGTTGTTCTGTATGAGGCTTGAAACCTGATGTTGAGAGCTATCTTGAATTCCTTGAGTTTGTCAGTATCTCGAAGGAAGGCCGTATTGAACCTTTGTAATTCTGTTTTCTCCAGTCGTCCAGTGTTCCTTCAGCCTTATTTTCATCCTAACAACCACCAGGTAGTGATCTCAAGCTGTGCCAACTCCTTTCTCTTTTCCTACGTCTTCCATTGTCATTCTTAATTTTTTAGTGATGCAAATCTGATCAATCTGGTTCTCTGTAGTGTGACTCGGTAAGAGCTACGTAACTTTGTGCATGGATTTGTGGGAGAATATTGTGCCACCAATTAAAATTTTGTTGAATGAACATAAATTTGAAAACCTGTCATCATTCTCGTTCCTTTCTTCCGGTTAGTTCAGGTCGTCTCATGATATCTTCATATCTTCATTCATCTCCATTCCGAATTTGGCGTTTAGGTCTTCCATTAGGATGGTCAGATTCTTTCCTGGCCACTTCGCTATGATCGATTGCAGCCTCTCATAGAACTGATCTTTATTGCCGTCATTGTTATCTTTGGTTGGCTCATCTCAATGGATAACATTCAATATGATTCTCTACTTTGTTTTGAAAGATGCTTTGATGATCCTGAATTCATGAGATTCCCATCCAACAAGCGCATTTCGTACTTCTGTGGACAGCATCAGAACCACTCCATGAGTGTGTGGAGTATTTTCGTCTTTGTGACCTGAGTACAGCGCCATCTCTTATGAATCTATCCTCTCCTGTTAGGCTCTACTTCACTGATTCCGAGCACCATTAAGTTGTATCTCCTCATTTCCGTAGCTATTTGACTGGTTCTCGCGGTATCACACATTATCCGGACATTCCATGTACCTATATTAATTGTTGCTTTGGGGCATCGGCCTTGTGACTTCGGAAGAATCTCGACTTACACCATGAGGCATCATAATTCTTTTTTCAACTCGGAGGGCAGAGTTTAAATGATTCAGTTTGCTTAATTCGGTTAGCGTTTTTTGGCAAGGTTTTTTTCTATGGGATGGGGTGGTTGACCTCATGCCCAACACTCCTCTTTTACTCGGGTTTGGTACCGGCAGTACCCAAGCTACAGGTGGAGTTCCCCATAAACGTTGTGAATTCAAATTCCTAAAGATGTACAATAGAAAGATAAATAAAGCATCGAGTGTTACAGAACAAATCTTAAGGACCGTTGTAGTGTGTGTGATTCAGGTGATTGCGATTCTTCAACACTACCGTAGAACACTTCTGAACATACAACTATATTTTTTTGTTGGTTATATACCAGGCCAAAGTCTGAGTTCAGGAAATGGGTTGTCCCATTTATACTGCATCATGAGGATGGGATTTAATTTACTCAAATAGAGAGAAAAGCGTGTCTACAATAAATTCCTGAATGACAGTCTCCTGAAAACTAAGGTCCTCTACTGGGATTGTGTAACATTTTGAGGTGCAATTGACGGGTGGAAATACGATAATTATCTTCCATTTTGTTGAGCACAGCTTACGTAAAAACCATTTTGTATAAGATAATTACAGGGGATTGGCATTTGTTCTGTCCGACTGCCAAGATGGTAAACGACATAAGGTCGTTTGTTTAACTGCTCCAATCTGATAACTGGCGTCTACATTTCTTTCTCCGTCTCACCTAGTTTTTATCGTTAGGTGTTATGGCTTCTCCACAGATGCCATCAAATTTCAGGAACATTTGCAGGTTAGTATTTTAATAAGCTATAAACTATCATTCATGTGTTATAGTTAGTTAATGTTGGAATTCAGCCTATCAGCATAGGATTTAGTACTTTGACTATGGAATCGGATAAGTTTATTTGTGTCAGGGAAACTACAGGTGAGACGTCACAAGTTGTAATTATTGATATGAATGATCCAATGAATCCTACTCGTCGTCCTATTTCTGCCGATACAATAATAATGAACCCCGTAAGCAAGGTAATGGCTTTAAAAGCTGGGAAGTTGTTACAAATTTTCAACATCGAACTGAAAAGCAAAATGAAGACATACACCATGCCAGAAGATGTCGTATTTTGCAAGTGGATATCCGTGAACACCATTGCACTCGTAACTGGCACAAGCGTTTATCACTGGGCTATGGATGGTGATTCAAATCCAGTCAAGATGTTTGATCGTCACCAGTCTCTGACGTCTACTCACATCATAAGCTATCGTTGTGATCCAAGTCAGAAGTGGTTGTTGCTTATCGGAATAAATCCAGAAAAAAACCGAGTTGTTGGGTATATGCAATTGTATAGCGTGGAGCGCAAAGTTAGTCAAGCGATAGAGGGCCATGCCGCTGCATTTGCTCGTTACATAATTGAGGGGAACACCAGTCCCACCACGTTGTTTTGCTTTGCCTCACGAAATGCCCAAGCGTGCAAATTACACATAATTGAAGTTGGCCAACCACCTGCAGGGAACCAACCATTTACTAAGAAAGCTATTGATGTTTACTTCCCACCAGAAGCTCAGACCGACTTTCCTGTTGCAATGCAGGTATGTAAGACGTCATCATTTTTCACTTTTAGACCTCGCCAAAGTACAGCATCATATACTTGATAACGAAAAGCGGGTACTTACACCTTTATGATATTGAAAGCGGATCATGTATATATATGAATCGGATAAGCAGCGAGACTATTTTCGTAACAGCTCCTTATGAACCAACTTCCGGTATCATTGGCGTTAATAAGAAAGGGCAGGTAGGATTTCTCGCTGGCATTTTTGTTTTGTTAAGTTTCAATTCCATTTCCCCCTACGTATTTCCTGTTATTTTAACATTACTGCTGTTTAAAAATAATTTGTGTACATTAACCCATTTTTTCAGTGGTCGGTGTCCTGAGTACTTATGTAAAATAGTTTATTCAGTATTTCTGTCAGGTTACATTATAACCAGTGACTTAACTAGCTGGTGAATGTGTTGTAGCAATGGCTAGATATTTGACTCGATTGACGCTACTCTCTAAAATTTTGGAATTTCAACATAGAGATCTTCCTTTTATATTCATCTGCAGTGTGTGAGCGACTCAGGCCTACCAATCCAAATGAATAGCGTTAGATCTATTAACTCCGTTTATGTGTAAATGCACTGTCTGTAAACTAACTAGCTGTTATATATCGGTTTGTCGTTAGACAACCAGTATGAGTCATTATTGATAGATATCGTTTCTTACACCATAAATAATGACTCATTTATATCGGACAAAACATTACACGTAAATACGTTCGTAGCACTTATCACTCCATTATCTACAATAGCAATATCGTCTGAGGCATACTAGTTCCTATATCAATTGTCTTCCGCACAGACTGAAATTCTTATGCATGTTAACCACTTCTAACCTCGATACTTCTTTACTGGATAGTAGCAAAAGACTGAATAACTAATCGACCGATTCCAGCTCTCAATATGAACTACGGGAAAATACGAATCTTTACAAGTCTCCCCATTTAACATCCGTACGGAGTTCCCATCTCTAAGTCATTAGATTTCTGGGCTTTGATTCTAGTGTACTTGTAGTCGGTGTGCAATACACCAACTAGTATGCGTGTGACAGACAAATGATGGACTTTGTGTTCCAATAAATTGCTTCGTAATGTATGCTTTAATTGTAACTCCAAATTGATCTGCTTTTCATGCTCCTTGTGTTAATCCATCGTTTACCAATGATTGACCACTTCTAGTAATAACATTATGTAATGTTGAAGTTTGGAGATAACTGAAACTATTCAGGGATGTTATCTTCAAACATGCTTTGGTACGTCTGATATTCTGTCTAGCGAATTCGGTACCAGGCTCTTGACTGATACCAAGGTTGAATAAAACAGGTGACTGTTAGCCGACTACTTGTCCCCATGTAATGAGGACTATTTATGAGGTTAGAATTTGTGACAGTACGATAATCTATACCAGTAACTGATGTCCCATACTTTACGAGTAGGATTGGGCGCCCGGGCAGTATTTAGGCCCTCATACAAATCGAATCATTTGCGTGTGGATGAAAAGAAGGGACAATGTATTGTTCCTACCAAAGATCGAACCAAAGGACTAACAAAGCACTTATATGTTTATTACGCGATGCCATTCAGCGGGTGTTTTTGTTAAATCATCCTAGGTATGAGCAGTCTCGTACTTAATTTGGATCCTAAATATTGAATAACACCTGTCCGTTTTGAATTCCACGACGCATTTTCTTATCCTTTCTGATAACTCGTGTAAAGATATTGTTCTGGCAGTTTTCGCCGTATAAACACCGTCTACTTTGAATTTATCTGGAGTGTATGTTCAAAAGTTTGAACATCAGCATTTGTCATACTCTTGTTTTAGGTATTATCCGTCAGTATCGATGAAGATACTATCATCAGTTACATAACCACTACATTGGAAAACCCTACACTTGCACTCCAAATGGCTTCCAGATGCAATCTTCCTGGTGCGGAAGATTTGTTTTTCAAAAAATTCGATTCTCTTTTTCAATCCGGTCAATTTCTAGAAGCTGCGAAGTTAGCAGCTAATGCTCCTAAAGGTATTTTGCGCACTCCACAGACAATTCAACGTTTTCAACAGGTAGGTTTTTAATAAAAAAATAAGCAAATTTTGGTACAATATATCTTATCTTACGTATAATAATGAAATATTCGCGATGGACGTCACCCTCCAATAATGCCAATGCATCCAGTCAAGGGGTAAAAAGATCCTCACTGTCATCATTAATCCTTAGTTATTTATGGTATTTCTTACTTACTTACTTACTTACTTACTTACGCCTGTTACTCCTCGTGAAGGAGCATAGGCCACTCACCAGCATTCTCCATCCAACCCTGTCCTGGGCAATCCTTTCTAGCTCCGTCCAGTTGTAATTCATCCTTTTCATATCTGCTTCTATAATCCGACGCAATGTGTTCTTTGGCCTTCCTCTTTTTCGCTTCCCTTCAGGGTTCCAAGTTAGGGCTTGCCTCGTGATGCAGTTTGACGATTTGCGTAATGTATGTCCTATCCATTTCCATCGTCTTTTCCTAATTTCTTCTTCAGCTGGAAGTTGGTTTGTTCTCTCCCACAGAAGGCTATTGCTGATGGTATCCGGCCAGTGGATGTTGAGTATCTTGCGTAGGCAGCTATTTATAAATACTTGTACTTTCTTGATGGTGGTTGTTGTAGTTCTCCAAGTTTCAGCTCCATACAGTAGAACTGCCTTGACGTTCGTATTGAAGATTCTCACTTTGATATTGGTTGAAAGTTGTTTTGAGTTCCATATGTTCTTCAATTGTAGGAATGCGACCCTTGCTTTGCCGATCCTCGCCTTTACGTCTGCATCTGAACCTCCTTGTTCATCGATGATGCTTCCTAGGTATGTGAAGGACTCTACATCTTCCAGAGTTTCGCCATCAAGAGTGATTGGATTGCTGTTCTGCGTGTTGAATTTGAGGACCTTGGTTTTCCCTTTGTGTATGCTGAGGCCTACTGATGCAGAGACTGCTGCTACACTGGCTGTCTTCATCTGCATCTGTTCGTGTGTACGTGATAGGAGGGCTAGGTCGTCTGCGAAGTCCAAATCGTCTAATTGATTCTGAGTTGTCCATTGTATTCCGTGTTTTCCTTCAGATGTCGAGGTCTTCATAATCCAGTCGACCACCAGAAGAAAGAGGAAGGGAGAGAGTAAACAGCCTTGTCTGACTCCAGTCCTTACTTGGAATGCATCTGTCAGCTGTCCTCCATGCACTACTTTGCACTGTAGTCCGTCGTATGAGTTCCGGATAATGTTGACAATCTTCTCAGGAACTCCGTAGTGTCGAAGAAGTTTCCATAATGTCCTCCTATCTACACTGTCGAATGCCTTTTCATAATCAATGAAGTTGATGTATAGTGATGAGTTCCACTCAACTGATTGTTCGACGATGATCCGTAGTGTTGCAATTTGGTCTGTGCACGACCGATCCTTACGGAATCCAGCTTGTTGATCTCGAAGTTGGGCGTCTACTGCATCCTTCATCCGGTTCAGCAACACTCTGTTGAAGACTTTCCCTGGTATTGACAGTAGTGTAATGCCTCTGTAGTTTTCACATTTGCTCAGATCTCCTTTCTTTGGAATCTTGACGAGGTGTCCTTCTTTCCAGTCCATCGGCACTTGTTCCTCCTCCCAAATCTTTTTGAATAGAAGGTACAGCATGCTTGTGGTTGCTTCGATGTCTGATTTCAGTGCTTCAGCTGGTATGTTGTCGGGTCCTGCTGCTTTCCCGTTCTTGATTTGTCTGACGGCCATTCTAATTTCTTCCGTCGTTGGTGGGTTGACATCTATAGGAAGATCTATGTGTGCTGCTTCGATGTCCGGTGGATTCATTGGAGCCGGCCTATTCAGGAGTTCCTCGAAGTATTCCACCCATCTGTTACGCTGTTGTTGAATTTCGGTGATTGGCTTGCCTTCTTTGTCTTTGACCGGCCTCTCTGGTTTACTGTATTTCCCTGCTAGTTTCTTCGTTGTATCGTAAAGCTGTTTCATATTTCCTTCTCTAGCAGCTTTTTCTGCCGTCGTTGCTAGTTCTTCCACGTATTTCTTCTTGTCGGCTCTAATGCTCCTCTTCACTTGTTTGTTTGCTTCTATGTATTCAGCTTGTGCTTGAACTTTCTCTGCTCGTGTTCGGCTGTTGTTAATTGCTGCCTTCTTGTTCTTCCTTTCTTTGATCTTGTCCAGTGTTTCTATAGAGATCCATTCCTTATGATGGTGTTTCTTTAGGCCCAGAACCTCTTGACACGTTGAAGTTAATGCTTCCTTGATGCCTTTCCAGTTGTCCTCCATACTAGTTTCTTCTTCTTTCAGTAGATCTTGTAAGGCTTGGAACCTGTTGTTGAGAGCTATCTTGAATTCATTGAGTTTGTCAGTATCTCGAAGGAAGGCTGTATTGAACCTTTGTAGTGCTGTTTGTCCACTTGTCCAGTTCTTTTTTAGCTTCAGTTTTAAATTGGCTACAACTAGGTGGTGATCTGAAGCTACGTCAGCACCTCTCCTGGTTCTCACATCTTCCATTGTCCTTCGGAATTTTTTGTTGATGCAAATATGATCTATTTGGTTCTCTGTAGTGTGGTCCGGTGAGATCCATGTAGCCTTGTGTATACGCTTGTGTGGAAATATTGTGCCTCCTATGACCAATTTGTTGAATGCACACAAATTTGCAAATCTTTCTCCATTTTCGTTTCTCTGTCCCAGTCCATGTCGTCCCATGATATCTTCATATCCGGTGTTGTCTATTCCGACTTTGGCATTTAGATCTCCCATCAGAATAGTTAGGTCCTTTCTTGGCATTTCTCAATGATTGACTGCAGCCGCTCGTAGAACTGATCTTTAATGTCGTCGTTGCTATCATTGGTGGGTGCATAACATTGGATAATATTCATTAAGATCCCCTCCTTCTTTGTTTTGAATGATGCTTTGATGATTCTGGATCCGTGAGACTCCCATCCTACAAGTGCATTTCGTGCTACTTTGGACAGCATAAGAGCGACTCCCTGAGTGTGTGGAGCATTGTCCTCCTCGTGACCGGAGTATAGCAGCATCTCTCCCGTAGCTAGCCTTTTCTGTCCAGCTTGGGTCCAGTGGGTTTCGCTGATTCCCAGTACTGCTAAGTTGTATCTCCTCATTTCCATTGCTATTTGACTGGTCTTCCCGGTTTCCCACATTGTTCGAACGTTCCATGTACCTATAAAAATTTTTGCTCTGGTTGTTAGAAGGGGCATCGGCCTCGTGGCTTCCGAAGGAACTCGGCTTTCACCATGAAGCGTCATAATTCTTCTAACTGAAGACCTTCTAACTCCCAGGGCAGAGTTTAAATGGTTTGAATAATTTTTTCTGGTAAGCGTTTTTTTAGCGAGTTAGTTTTCTACGGGATGGGGACGCTAACCCCATGCCCAACCCTCCTCCTTTACCCGGGCTTGGGACCGGCAGTAACCCTATTAGAGCTACAGGCGGAGTTTATGGTATTTCTAACGCTACATATTTGTGTTTAAAGGGAGTCAAGGTTCTAGACTATTGATTTTTGATTACAGCACCCATGGATTAACTTTACCCCTTATTCACCAGATTGCTTGGAAATGCAATTTACTATTTCGTTTCACGAAAACGATTACTGACCAGTAACAATTAAGCGTATTTCGGACTAGTTTTTGAGAAGTAATTCGTGATTTAATTTATCTCATTTTGCTCGTCTAGCATGTAAAATCCGTTTCTTATTCTTATAGATGTCAACTACACCAACGGTAGCATCGGCCCTGTCGAATTATTTTGGAATTCTACTTGACCAAGGTCAGCTTAACAAGTTCGAAAGTCTGGAGGTTTGTAGACCAGTTTTACAACAGAAAAGGAAACAGTTGTTGGAAAAGTGGTTGAAGGAGGACAAATTAGAATGTTCAGAGGAGTTAGGCGATCTTGTTAAGCAGGTAATTTTCCTTTTTTTCTGAATACTTACCCGTGATTCCAAAAATTACTGTGCGTAGTTAATTTAATCATGAGCACCAAAAACTTGCGGCAAAAAGTTTTGGAAAAATTATATTGTTATCCATAAACAAAATTATCACCTACTAGTTGGTTGTTGATGGATTCCCAAGTGTCTTCACTGGTTACGGCTCTTAAAAATAATTTTGGTTCAATTTGTCATCACATTCCACCAGCATATGGGTTTGAATGTTTGGAAAAAAATTACTAAAGCCATGTAAAGGAGGTAGTGACGTTTTCACTTTCGATAGTTCTTAACTCATCATTCGGGAAGAGAATCACGAGGTTCATAATAGAAAATTCTGGCTTCTATCTAAGAGCTATCAGTACCACAGCTTGATACGAATATACCTTTTAAAATAGATGTCTCAATAATAATGATAATGTTCCTACCGTTTCTATGTTTTTTTAGGTGTTTAATACATTGTGTGCTCTCAGCTTCATTCTCACCTTTCTCATGAATTCAAATTTTTTAAGATGTGGAGTAGTACAGTCTAGGTTGACTAAACGGTGGTCCTTTTTTAAGTAAACTGAAAGGGTGTGTAACTTGTGTACACAATACTTCCAACCCGCCATTAATTATGGGGAAATGAGGAACCAAGGTTACTTTTATTTCATTTAAGTTACTTTAGGGTTGCTTGCCAATCATATCAGATTTTCACTTATCACACTAAGTAGATATAATATTATAGTCATTTATAATGGCTATTAACTTTCATTATTTTTACAGGCGGACCCTACATTAGCTTTGTCCGTCTATCTAAGGGCCAATGTCCCACCAAAAGTTGTACAGTGTTTTGCGGAAACTGGCCAGTTTCAGAAAATCATCGTTTATGCAAAGAAGGTCGGCTACACACCAGATTATATTTTTCTGTTACGCAACCTAACTCGTATCAACCCAGACCAAGGTTTGCAGTTTGCCCAAATGTTGGTTCAGGATCAAGAACCTTTAGTTGATTTAGAACAAGTTGTAAATGTGTTTATGGATCAAGGTTTAGTGCAACAATGTACATCATTCTTACTGGACGCATTAAAGCATAATCGACCTTCTGAGGGACATCTCCAAACTCGTCTATTAGAAATGAATCTAATGTCAGCACCTCAGGTAAGTTACATGTTTAGTATATGTCGAGATTTCGTATGATGTTAGTCACATTGTCATCTTGTATCTGCACAGGATACCAGTGTGCCACGTCATTATGGGCACATTTTTGTTTTGAAACAGTTTTTTACCTTTTCAAACATCGACTTTTTGTAACTCCAGCAAAGAGAGGCTCATTATAAGACTACCTCTCGTTCCACAGAATATCTTTATTCTGATCATATCTGAGTGAATGTAGGTGTTTGCCCGAGTTTTGCTAAACTCAAAAAGCCACACTAAAAAGGTTCTTTAAAGCTCTCAACTTAATGAAGTCAAGAATATGTATCAGGAACAACTAGAGCAGTTAGTCAACCGTGAAAGACACACCTACTTCAAGGTAGCTTGGCGTGATATTCAAACAGCAGTGATATCTGTCAGTAACTTAAACCAAAGGGTTAGGAACCATTATTGAATTTCGCTAGCGTCTAGTGAACTGTTTGATGCTCGGAAACTCACCTCGTCTGGCTCCGGGCACGACTAAAAACAGAGTCAGTTTAAACATAGTTTGCTAAAAAGCCTACACAGTGATCGTTAGCAGTGGTGGATTGCAAAAGCAAGATATAGGAAAGGCGGAGGCAATAGGTATTAGTAGAAAACTATTCAAACTTATCAAGGAAACAGGTATTACAAATCCGGTTGTTAGTTAAGCTATTTCGAAATAAAAAAATGTGACCATTATTCACTTTTATGAGCAACACAAATGAGAAATTTATGTAAGTTCCTCAACTCTTAATGAGGTTAAGAATGCTATGGATAATCTAAAGCGGGTGAGAGCAGCTGGGCCAAATGGATTAACCCCGGAAATATCTGTTGTTGGCTGTTCTGTTTTAGTAGTTAGATTGACCGAAATCTTAGCTAGAATCTAGGAACTGAACGTGGCCCCATTTGATTGGTGTCGATCGTTGATCGTCCTTGTTCATGAGAAAAGACAAAAATCTTGTGACGATCACAAAGGGATGTTTGACTAACGTATCAGCTTCAGTCAATAATAACCCGACCACCTGGTTGGTGTCTTTACGACTATCGTAACCAATCATTTGAGACTTAGTGATATAACGGACAATCATCCTCAATGAAACAGGCCCAGATGACTTACCTCCGGCTCTTTTTAAAGATGGTGGTGACTTTTTGACTAAGGAATTGACGACGTTGTTTACAAAGGTTTGGGAACTAGAGTGTGTACCAACGTCATGGAATGAGTCGATAGTTGTCCCTATCTTTAAAAAGGGTTCACGTCGTTCCTGTAACAACTATCGGGGGATAAGTTTACTTCCGATTGCGTCCAAGCTATTGGCTTCCGTCATTCTTCGTAGGTTGTTCAAAACCCGAGAAAGATTGACTCGCGAGGAGCAGGCTGGGTTTCGTTCTGGTCGAGGATGTATTGATCATATCTTCACCCTCCGCCAAATGTTAGAACACCGCCATACTTATCAAAGGCCAACAATCGTAGTGTTTCTTGACATCAGGGCTGCCTTCGATTCGTTGGACAGGACTGTTCTCTGGGATTGTCTATTGAAGAAGGGTGTGCCTGAGAAGTTTATTAACATCCTGAAAGCCCTATATAAAAACACCTCAGGCAGAGTGAGGGCATACAACCACCTCTCTCCATTGTTCCATTCGAGCAGTGGGGTTAGGCAGGGTTGCCCAATCTCACCATTCCTCTTCAACTTTGCCATCGATGACATTCTGGAAACAGCTCTGATGAATGTAAGTAATGGTGGTGTGGATCTGTTGCCTGGAGAAAGACTTCTCGACCTTGAGTATGCGGACGATATTGTCTTACTGTGCGATAATGCCCAAGGCATGCAATCCGCACTTAATCAGTTGGCAATCAGTGTCCGTAGGTATGGTATGTGCTTTGCACCTTCGAAGTGCAAAGTACTTCTACAAGACTGGCAGGATTCTAATCCTGTACTCACCCTGGATGGTGAGCAGATAGACGTAGTCGAGAAGTTCGTGTATCTGGGTAGCTGCATAAGTGCTGGTGGGGGTGTGAGTGATGAGATCAATGCACGAATAGTGAAAGCCAGAGCGGCTTATGCCAATCTGGGCCACCTTTGGCGCCTTCGTGATGTTAGTCTGGCTGTAAAAGGTCGGATCTACAACGCGTCGGTGAGAGCAGTTTTGCTCTATGCTTGTGAAACCTGGCCTCTCCGAGTTGAGGACGTTAGACGACTCTCTGTGTTCGATCATCGCTGTCTCCGAAGGATTGCTGACATTCAGTGGCAACACCATGTCAGTAATGCAGAGGTTCGGCATCGTGTGTTCGGGCACAGAGATGATAATTCAATTGGTGTCACCATCTTGAAACACCGACTTCGGTGGCTTGGACATGTTCTCCGAATGTCGTCCCAGAGAATTCCACGTCGTGCATTATTTGCCGACTCTGGGACTGGTTGGAAGAGGCGGAGAGGTGGTCAGTGCATGACATGGTGTCGTGGCATGAAAGAAAGCTGCAAAGGACTGGCTTGTGTTGGTCCTTCACGACTCCCTGGTTGGGGTCTGAGAGATGGTGCTACACAGTGGCTAGAGACGTTATCAGATATGGCTCAGAATAGAAGCCAGTGGCGATCCTGCTGTAACCTTCTTTTACTTTCTTCATAAAAAGTGGTTGTGTCTCCTTTACCTGAAAGATTTCTTCTGATTGTACCTTTTCGTTCCGTCGTTACTACCACACTACCTTACTCCAATCTCTTCGTCATTGTTCTCTTTTTCTTTTGCGCTCCTTAGTTTTTTTTTCTACTTCTCTTCGAATTCTCATTGTTTTGTGTGGCGCATATATATTGGCGCTCTCTTGTACCAATATTCATGTGTTCAAATAAATAAATAATAACTATGACCACTACTACTAATGCTGTTAGTACTAGGTATATACAAGTCTTTAGTTGTCGAACAGTATCTTCGGTTTTATATCATTATAACTAACCTTATTAATGTGTTGTGGGTTTGTGTCATTACACAAATGTAGAACAAAATGAGAGGTACATATCTTAGCTAAAGATTCGGTTGAATTTGATATTTATGTTAATGAACATACGAGCTCTATGCAAATCATCACATAACTGTGATGACCAGACACGAAATGCTTATTGTATGTAATTCATGATTTTGTTTATATGTTTCAATTGACCGTGTTGAATGTTAGTATTTTGTAAAACTAATGACCCTAGTTATTCTAAATCGAATAAATAAGGGTATAAATGAAGTAATAAACCTGCATTGGCTATTACACTGTTCGATTATCTTTATGGATATGTAGAATTTCTTTTTACTCGTTCGGAAAATATGTTCTATATGGTAACCGGTCTTGATACCCTTCAGGTTGCAGATGCAATTTTGGGCAACCAAATGTTTTCGCATTATGATCGGGCAGCTATTGCTCAGTTGTGTGAGAAAGCGGGGTTGTTGCAGCGGGCTTTGGAACACTATACTGATCTTTACGACATCAAACGGGCTGTCGTAAGTACACATTTATTAAATCATGAGGTAAGTACATTTATTTGTAATCTTAATTTGTTGTACGTGTCCTGAATTTAAATAGCCTTGAAAATCAGTGTGGTATATATGTATTTTCTTCAAACTGCTTTGCTCAGTTCGATGATAACTAGGCCTAAACTATATACTTATGGACTCAAATAGCTTTTTAGATGCCTGTGTCCAGACGGCAAACGTTTTGAATAAGATAGTTTAGAGAAAATAACATATTTCCAGGTTTTCCAACTATAAAGATGATTTGGAAGCTTTTATTGTACTGTATTTAGGTCACGAGTGCCCATAGCCATTTTTAAAATATTCTCAATGTAAGTTATCTGGTGTACAGTTTCGTTCTGTTGATGAATTGTGAAGGTTATGAGGTGCTAATTTAAATATGATATTCCTACATATTGATAAAAAAAATCATCTTGCCGAACTGATTTTGGATAACAGAAAAGTTATACCTGAATATTCGAACTGTTCTTTCATTATCTGTACAACACGAAATTATGTTTATTCATCGATATGTGGTCGCGACAGCATTAATTCAAGCCAAGGATATTAATTTCATTTACAGTGCTTTATTTTCTGACAGATTAAAATGAAACCAGTACGACTATATTTCCTCTCCATGTCTTCATCGAATTTTATTGCCTCTTTTATATACGAGTGTTAAAATGATCCAATGTTGTTAACAATATTGTATACTTTTAAGAGTTAGATTCCCATTACCACATTATCAGGGTTAGTTCAGCAGTTTCTCCAGTTCATAAACATATTGAATTGAGTATACATTCATCGTAAGCTCACGAATCACTCCCTTAATTCATTGGATATAATTTCCTTTATTTATGATATACACTGTGAGGAATTTTTTGTGGTCTTTGTAACAGTTACTAGGCAAATGATAGATATCTAAATGTTCGTGATTATATGATTTTTTTAACACAAATGTCAATGTCTTTTAGACTTACAGTGACTAATTTTACTTCCACACATTGTATTTGCGCACTACTAGTTGGTAGACTAGTTTTCGACCTGGACGTAGTTGTATAGACCAGATATTCACACTACTTCAGGTTCTAGAACACAGACACACGTTCAGACGTCCCACAATCGTAGTATTTCTCGACCTTAAGGCAGCATTCGACTCTGTTGATCGTTGAGGTTCTATGGCAATGTTTGTCACTGAAAGGAGTACCAAAGAAGTACATTAACCTTGTAAAGACTCTATTCGAACACAATTGGTCAAGTGAGAGCTTATGGCGAACTGTTACCAGAATTGATTACCTCAAGTGGTGTTCGTCAGGGCTGTCCACTCTCCCCATTCTTGTTTAACTTTGTCATTGACGTACTTTTAGAGATAACGCTTTCCTCACCTAAATTTCCAGGGGTTTAACTTCTACCAGGAGATTCACTTGTTGACTTGGAATATGCCGATGACATAGTTCTATGTGGTGAAGACGCTGACAAAATGCAGTCTTCTGACCACTCTAAGCAACAAAGTGGAAGATAATTATCGTATTTCCACCCGTCAATTGTACCTCAAAATGTTACACAATCCCAGTAGAGGACCTTAGTTTTCAGGAGACTGTCATTCAGGAATTTATTGTAGACACGCTTTTCTCTCTATTTGAGTAAATTAAATCCCATCCTCATGATGCAGTATAAATGGGACAACCCATTTCCTGAACTCAGACTTTGGCCTGGTATATAACCAACAAAAAAATATAGTTGTATGTTCAGAAGTGTTCTACGGTAGTGTTGAAGAATCGCAATCACCTGAATCACACACACTACAACGGTCCTTAAGATTTGTTCTGTAACACTCGATGCTTTATTTATCTTTCTATTGTACATCTTTAGGAATTTGAATTCACAACGTTTATGGGGAACTCCACCTGTAGCTTGGGTACTGCCGGTACCAAACCCGAGTAAAAGAGGAGTGTTGGGCATGAGGTCAACCACCCCATCCCATAGAAAAAAACCTTGCCAAAAAACGCTAACCGAATTAAGCAAACTGAATCATTTAAACTCTGCCCTCCGAGTTGAAAAAAGAATTATGATGCCTCATGGTGTAAGTCGAGATTCTTCCGAAGTCACAAGGCCGATGCCCCAAAGCAACAATTAATATAGGTACATGGAATGTCCGGATAATGTGTGATACCGCGAGAACCAGTCAAATAGCTACGGAAATGAGGAGATACAACTTAATGGTGCTCGGAATCAGTGAAGTAGAGCCTAACAGGAGAGGATAGATTCATAAGAGATGGCGCTGTACTCAGGTCACAAAGACGAAAATACTCCACACACTCATGGAGTGGTTCTGATGCTGTCCACAGAAGTACGAAATGCGCTTGTTGGATGGGAATCTCATGAATTCAGGATCATCAAAGCATCTTTCAAAACAAAGTAGAGAATCATATTGAATGTTATCCATTGAGATGAGCCAACCAAAGATAACAATGACGGCAATAAAGATCAGTTCTATGAGAGGCTGCAATCGATCATAGCGAAGTGGCCAGGAAAGAATCTGACCATCCTAATGGAAGACCTAAACGCCAAATTCGGAATGGAGATGAATGAAGATATGAAGATATCATGAGACGACCTGAACTAACCGGAAGAAAGGAACGAGAATGATGACAGGTTTTCAAATTTATGTTCATTCAACAAAATTTTAATTGGTGGCACAATATTCTCCCACAAATCCATGCACAAAGTTACGTAGCTCTTACCGAGTCACACTACAGAGAACCAGATTGATCAGATTTGCATCACTAAAAAATTAAGAATGACAATGGAAGACGTAGGAAAAGAGAAAGGAGTTGGCACAGCTTGAGATCACTACCTGGTGGTTGTTAGGATGAAAATAAGGCTGAAGGAACACTGGACGACTGGAGAAAACAGAATTACAAAGGTTCAATACGGCCTTCCTTCGAGATACTGACAAACTCAAGGAATTCAAGATAGCTCTCAACATCAGGTTTCAAGCCTCATACAGAACAACAAGAAACGGATCAAAGAAGCAGTAACTCTAAAGTGACAGGAGCTACTGGACCTCAAGTGTCACTATAACTAAGAATGGATCTCTGTCGAGACACTGGACATTATTCAAGAAAGAATGAACAAGAAGACAGAAATTAACAACTGCCGAACAAAAACAGAGAAAGACAAGGTACAAGCTGGTTACACTGAAGCAAACAAGCTAGTGGAGAGGAACATTAAAGCTGACAAGTGAGGATACATGGAACATTTTGCGACTACAGCGGAAAAAATGCAAGAGATCAAAATATGAGACAACTATATGACATAACGAAGAAACTAGCAGGGAAATATAGTAAACAAGAGGGGCCAGTCAAGGACAAAGAAGGGAAGCCAACCACTGAGATTCAAGTACAGAGAAACAAATGGGTAAAACACCTTGAGAAACTCTTGAATTGGACAGCTCCATTGAATCCATCGGACATTGAAGCAGCACTCACATATATTCCTATAGTCGTCACTCCACCAACGACCGAATAAATCAGGATGACGGGTCATCAGATAAATCAAGAGAGGAAAAGCATCAGGACCTGACAAACTACCAGCTGAAGCACTGAAGTCAGGTATAGAAGTAACTGCAAATATGCTATACGATCCATTCAGGAAGATTTGAGAGGAGGAACAAATGCCGACAGATTGAGAAGAAGGATATCAAATCAAAATACCAAATAAAGGTCTGAGAAAATATGAGAACTACAGAGGTACACCGTAATGTCAGTACCAGGAAAAAGTTCCCAACAGAGTGTCGCTGAACCGGATGACAAACTCAGCAGACGCCCAAATTCAAGATCAACAGTTCGGCTTCCGTAAGCATCGGTCGTGTACAAAACAAACCACGACATTTCGGACCATCGATGAACAATCCATTGAATAAAAGCCACCACTGTACATCATCTTCCTTGATCATAAAAAAGAATTTTACATTGCTGATAGGAAAACCATAGGGAACCTTCTTCCATACTAAGAGAATCGTCAACATCATACGGAATTCACGCGACGGACTAGAGTGCAGTTTACGTCACTTTGTGGCCCTCTCTTGTACTTGCCATCGTTTACTAACAATTTTCTTATCACCATAGTGTCATATTAAGGCCTGGAACTGTACCCGGTAAACATTTCCGAACGGTAAATATACAGTGTTTGTTATTGATTTTAGAAGACAATCGTTTGAGCTATTTTGTCAATTTTTACTGATGTATAGTTTATGTCATCATTCCTCCAGATGTGTGTGAAAGTTTAAGTGATTCTCTCTTTGGTCTGTGGAAGTATTAAACCAATTTTCGTATTTAAATGTGGTGTCAGCATTCACTTGCCTTATTTTAATCCGGAATGTTTCTAGTCTTTTTGTTTCTTTCTTACAAATTTTATAGTGGCTTGTCAATTATTTTGGCTCACTTTCTGTCGATGATTCGTTGGAGTGTTTGAGAGCTATGCTACAGGCAAACATTAGACAAAATCTCCACGTCTGTGTCCAGATTGCTACTAAGTATCACGAACAGTTGGGGACAAATGCGCTTATCGAAATTTTCGAATCATTCAAATCATTTGAAGGCTTGTTTATTTTTTGGGGTCTATTGTTAATTTTAGTCAAGAACCTGAAGTTCATTTTAAATATATTCAAGCTGCCTGTAAAACCGGACAAGTCAAAGAAGTTGAACGTATTTGTCGCGAAAGCAATTGTTATGAACCAGAACGAGTTAAAAATTTTCTTAAGGTAATAATCTTAGTATTTATTCTCATGCATTTATTATATACGTATAAAGTTGCGGTAATCAACTTCATTTATGCTAGCCGATTCTAGTTACAAGTTTGAATCATCAGTTGTCTACAATTTATCTAAACACATGTAACTCTCTTCACTAAGGATTTTTTCTAGTGATGGTATTGCATGTAGAAGGTCGTGAGCTTATCTTATCATTACTGCACAACCCCAGTAGTTTTGATAAAGAATTGCTCAGTTGTATTTAAAAATATATTCATAATTAAAATAATTGGGAATGTGGTTTTATTCTGAGTTTAATACGTATTGCGTTAAATCCCAAAGTATCATTCTATTAGTTAAAATTCATCCAATAACAGGTGGTGTTGATTCGAAATATATCTCAATTCGTACTATTAACTGGTTTTACTGTGACCACTAAATTAGGTTTTCACTGTACTAGAGGATTTACTTATTTTGTGTGTGGTAGTTTCATGATAGATATATATTTAAATGCTAATTATCTTTCGTTCTAACATTAAATAAAGAGTAACAGTCAGCTAAATAATGTGAGAGCTTTGGTGGTCCATTTCATAATTTGGCACATCCAGTTTAGGCTCCTTATGCAAGTCTTGCATGATCACTCTAAGGTGAAAGTTTAATGTAAGAAACAGACATTTTAACATCTCTACAGAGATTTTTGTTAGGCACTTCCTAATACTACACATAACTCCGGTCTGTGATAAGAATAAGCAGTTCTCGTGAGGACTGTACTTCTAGACTTCATATTAGTTTTGGAAGTTTGGTAGTTCTATTTCAAAAAAGTAAGCATGAACAGTTACGGCTACTGGAGATTGCTGCCAATACTGATGCTTTCAGCTAATATTCCAATTTCTGTTAAAATAATATTAATCAGATTTCTTTTATGGTTCTTATGATGTAACATATACTTTTTTTCAGGAGGCAAAACTTACGGATCAATTACCTCTTATTATTGTCTGCGATCGCTTCGATTTTGTTCATGATCTCGTCCTTTATTTGTTTCGTAATAATTTGCAGAAATACATTGAGATTTATGTGCAAAAAGTTAATCCAGCCCGTTTACCAGTGGTTGTTGGAGGTCTTTTAGATGTTGATTGTTCAGAGGATATAATAAAGCAGTTGATGGCCGTTGTTCGTGGTACGTTTATAATTTTTCCTACTTGTAAGCTCAAGAAGTAGTTAATAAAGTATAACACTCTCGTTATTTATTTATTTTTGCAGGTCAGTTCAATACTGATGAACTTGTTGCAGAGGTGGAAAAGCGCAATCGGCTGAAGTTACTACTGCCATGGCTTGAATCACGTGTACATGAAGGTTCTGTTGAGCCTGCTACACACAATGCCCTAGCAAAGATTTACATTGACCTTAATAACAATCCTGAACGTTTCTTGAGGGAAAATCAGTATTATAATAGCTCTGTTGTCGGTAAATACTGTGAAAAGCGTGATCCACATTTGGCGTGTATTGCATATGAACGTGGACATTGTGACCAAGATCAAATCAGAGTACGTTTTACATATAATGTATTATTTCCAACTCTAATTTAATGCTTAAATTCACTTGTGCTTCAGTTTTTCGAAACCTGGTGGTTTTATGTTGTATCTACCTAGAATAAAATCTTGTTATTGTTTTGTAAGTGGATTTTATTTTTTAGGTTTGCAATGAAAACGCATTATTCAAAACTGAAGCTCGTTACTTAGTTAGACGGAAAGAGCCGGAGCTGTGGGCAGAAGCTTTGAGTGAATCTAATAGTTACCGTCGACAATTAATTGATCAAGTTGTTCAGACAGCACTTTCTGAAACCCAAGATCCTGAAGAGATATCCGTTTCTGTTAAAGCGTTTATGGCTGCAGATATGCCGAACGAACTAATTGAACTTCTGGAAAAAATAGTTTTGGACAATTCAGTATTTTCTGATCATCGCAACCTTCAAAATCTTTTAATTCTAACTGCAATTAAAGCTGATAAAAGTCGTGTCATGGAATACATTAATCGCTTAGATAATTATGATGCTCCAGATGTTGCTAACATAGCCATAAATAATTCTCTTTTTGAAGAAGCATTTGCCATTTTCAAGAAATTTGAAGTCAACACATCCGCTATACAGGCAAGTGTTTTATATGTTTAGTTATATTTTGTTTATATAGAGGTATTCTGTTAGTGGACGTGGTAAATTGATTTGACGTTGTATTGCAGACTGCCTGAAACTATCTTCTGCATCACTAGTTTCGACCTATGTATCTTATTGTCGAACATTTGAGAGTATGCAATTTAAATCGTTTATTTATGATAGAACCTATGTACTCTGGTTAGGTATTCATCTTCAGTATTGCATTTTAAGCTTTACGTAAACGTTCGAATTTACGTGATTACGGTGTCCGTTCCTTCAATATGACTGATAAATGTGGATGTTTCGTTGTCTGGTCAACTACCTACCCACACAGAGAACACCAACGCAATCACACTTGATAGAGAAACTCTGAAAGAGGTGGAAACATTTACGTATCTGGCCAGCATAATCGATGAACAAGTAGGATCTGATGCAGACGTAAAGGCAAGGATTGGCATAACTAGGGCGGCATTTTTACAATCGAAGAATATATAAAACTCAAAACAACAGTCCGCCAGTATCGAAGTCAGAATTTCCAATATGAATATCAGGAAAGTTCTACTGTACGGCGCTGAAACTTGGAGGACTAATACAACCATCATCAAAAAGTACAGATATTTATAAACAACTGACTACGCAAGATACTGAATGTCCGTTTGCTGCATACCATCAGCAACAGCCTACTGTTGGAAAGAGCAAACCAACTTCCAACTAAATAGTTAATTAATAAAAGACTCTGGAAGTGGACAGGAGATACATGGCGGAAATTACCAAACTGCATCAAGATGCAATCTCCAACTTGGAATCGTGAAGGGAAAAAGAGAAGAGGAATAGCAAAGAACACATTGAGTTGAGAATGTGAGACAGACGTGAAAAGTATGGTTAGCACTTGGAAACAACTAGAAAGGATAGCCCAGGACAGAGTCGAATGTAGAATGCTGGTGAGCGGCTTATGCTCCTCTACGAGGAGTTACAGACCCAAGTATGTATGTAAGTCAGTGGTTTAGTAGCTAAGTCGCTTGAACCACGCCCCACCTACTTTGGTTCGAGGAACCGCATATTGTCATTAGGCTTTACATTTAAAGTATGGCTCATACCCAAGTGCCCGGAAGGTGAGTTTATTTAGTTTAAAAACACCTCATACGGTTGTTGTTCATAATCATATTCCTCTCTTGTAATGCAAAAGTTAAGCCAAATTTCGTTTTCGGGTTTTCATCTGAACGTATCTCCTGTACAAATAAATGTCATTATTATTTTACCAATGACCGTTATATCGTTTTTTCACTCTCGTGGTTTGTTTCTAGGTTTGATTGACCATGTCAAAAATTTTGATAGGGCCTATGAATTTGCTGAACGTTGTAATGAACCAGCTGTCTGGAGTCTTCTAGCGCATGCTCAGTTAGCTCAAGGTTCCATAAAAGAAGCCATTGACTCATATGTGAAGGCGTCTGATCCTAGTCGATTCCAAGCAGTTTCCGAAGCTGCTTCAAACTCTGGTAATTGGGAAGATTTAGTTCGTTATCTCCAAATGGCACGAAAGAAAGCCCGTGAAACGTTTATTGAGTCAGAGCTCGCCTTCGCCTATGCAAGGACTAATCGTTTGTCAGATCTTGAAGAGTTCATTTCAGGACCAAATCATGCCAATATCACTGTTGTAAGTATCATATTTTGGTATTTTCTTAAAATAACTTCATAATTTCAAGTTCCAGTAGTATATTTGATATCGTTTTTGTCGAATTATGCTTAGTGCTTTCGGGTATTTGAATCTCATAGAATCTCAATATACCTGGTTTTTGTATGTGGATAATTTAGTGAACGTTTCTCTTACTTTTTAGGTAGCCGATCGTTGTTTTGACCAACAACTATACGAGGCAGCTAAGATATTATATTCGAACGTTAGCAACTATTCCCGCCTAGCAATAACTTTGGTTCACTTAGGTGAGTATCAGGGATCTGTGGATGCTGCTCGAAAAGCAAATTCAACACGCACTTGGAAAGAAGTATGTTTCGCTTGTGTTAATCACAAGGAATTTCGTTTGGCTCAAATGTGCGGTCTACATATTGTTGTACATGCAGATGAATTAGGCGATCTTATTAATTACTATGAACAACGTGGTCACTTTGATGAACTTATTCAACTTTTAGAAGCTGGTTTAGGTTTGGAACGGGCACATATGGGAATGTTCACCGAGCTGGCAATATTGTATTCCAAGTTTAAGCCAGAGAAAATGCGGGAACATTTGGAGCTTTTCTGGTCTCGTGTCAATATTCCAAAGGTAATTTCAATGTATTTCCGGAAATTTCATCATACTTATCAGTTGCAAAATTCTTGAAACGTAGATCACAGGCTAATCGAAATTGCAGTAAGTAGTGTGGAAGTAATCAGGATATAATTGGCGAGTTCAGATACATACAGATGGGTCTAAGTTGAGTGCCTATGAAACAATAGATGTTTAAAAAATAAGCGACGTAAAATCAATATTAGACTAAATAATTTAAAAATAAGTGAGTTTTGGTAAATCGTTTGTTACTTTATAAGTAAATGCAGCATTATGTCTGAACTGAATATATACCTCATAGTATCTACTCTAAAATCATGAATGTTATATTCAGGATTAACAGGACTTCTCCAACCAATATACCTGACTTCACAAAAGGTGATCACACAGTAAATACGTACGCTCGTGTTCAGAGGCAAGAGGATATGTTTTTAGGACGAGTTGTTGGTGAACACACAGTTTTCTACCATTCCCGATGTTGCCAGATTGTGTTCAGTTTAGTAGACGTAGGTCGTGATGTATTCTATAGTTTTAAAACCCATAAATCATTTGTCAGTAAAAACTGGCACATTTACTTTAGTTTTGCAGATGTATCAGTTGGTCACTGTGAACATGTTACTAGTTTAAATACAGTTTCTCATTTATCTTACCCGTTTTTGTAACTCATGAATTTCGCTTGATATTTGCCCTTTTAGCACTCCAGCGAAATCATTTGATTTATTTGTAATACATGATTGTTCTAGTTAATTTTGTTAATCCATTAAATAAATATTTTCCTCGCACAGTGCGTTCACCACCAATTCTTTTCAATTCTTTTGGGCAAATGCACATAAAGTTTCATTGAGTTATGTTGTATTATTTGTCTTTTAGTGTTATAGTTATTTGTTGATATCTGCAAATTATCCTATTTTTTCTGTTTGATTTAGGTTCTTCGTGCTGCTGAACAAGCCCATTTATGGTCGGAGTTAGTATTTCTTTATGATAAGTATGAAGAGTATGATAATGCGATTCTTACAATGATGAGTCATCCAACTGAAGGATGGAGAGAAAATCATTTCAAAGACTTAATAACACGAGTTGCTAATGTAGAATTATATTATAAAGCGATCCAATTCTACTTGACTTACAAACCGCTGCTTTTAAATGATTTACTCACGGTCTTATCACCACGTTTGGACCATACACGTGCAGTAAATTTCTTCATCAAGGCAGGGCATATTGCTCTAGTTAAACCTTATTTGCGGTCTGTTCAACAAAATAACGCAAATAATAAATCAGTCAACGAGGCTTTAAACGATTTGTTAATCGAAGAAGAAGATTATCAAGCAAGTTTCATGTTTTATATTTATGAAGTTTATCGCTGACAGGTGGTTTCTTTTTTCGTTAGTTAACAATCTATTCTGTTATATTCATCACTAGTTGACTGATTCGGAGGTAATTTTAAAATAAAATTCTTCTCTACTGAATTTACTTCATTAACATATGTAACAAAGCGTTTATTGTAAAAGCTTTTCTCTCCCAACCAATAAGTCACAGGTCCCAACGACGCTACACAAACTTTATGTCTAATCTGAGTATGGGAACCACTAATGGGTAAATAAGTTACATTAAAATATTCCAAATTATTGTGATATTTATGTGTAAATAAATATAAAAGTTTTTATAACTGGGGACTACTACTAGCTTTTAACTCTGCATTTTTAAAGTTGTTTTTTACGTTGTACTTTCTTTTCAGGCTTTAAGGCAATCTATTGAAACTCATAGTAACTTTGATCATATTGCGTTGGCTCAACAGTTAGAGCGTCATGAACTCATCGAATTCCGTCGTCTTGCTGCTTTACTGTTTAAAGGTAGTAATCGGTGGATGCAAAGTATCGACCTATGTAAACGTGATCAGTTGTATTCTGTAAGTTCATTTTGTGATATGCTTCATTCCCTTTGATAGTTGCAATGATGACTCATAATATCGAATAAACCATTCGGTCCAGTACATTTTCCATTTTTTGGAATTCAGGGTATAATTTTTAAAAGCTTCTCATGTGATATATTTTTTCCTCAGGTTTTATAGTTGGACTTGGAAAAGTCTAAGTAGATAGCTAGACGATTTTATGGTACTAATCTTGATTTACTTGCTGTTCTACGATAAGAGGGCTGTTGTATGGTTTACATTTATTACGATAATGATATTAGAAGACGAAGATTATCAGAACCTACCCTGGTAATATTGACTTATTATCCAGAGTGATTAGGTTTCGCTTTGTGTTCACATTATTATTATTATTATTACTCTTATCATTATCCTTATCTTCCTCTTACCCCGTTTCCTGTCTAGTTGACCTTTTATTTTTATATATAAATGCTCTTAACACGTATATGTGTGACCAGATTGTTCGAAATGTATTGCGCTAATATATCACATAGTTCTGATAATCTTCGTCTTCTAATATCATTATCGAAATTTATCAAAGGGACTAATTGTTTTAAATTACATTTATTAGTATTAGTGAACTATTAGGTTTATGAGGTCTTACTTCCAAATCCCTTGTTTTAAACTAAAATATTTGCAGTTAAAAGTGTCCTATAAATCGCGAATTGAATGATCTGGATACTTCATTATCCATTTAGCTATAAACCATTTTGATTTACAACATGAACTCTCGGAATTATATTTGAGGCATTAATTCAAAATACTTGTCCTTTGTTTTATTGTCTGTGGGATCCGAATTCATTTTCGATGGTTTGGTGATGGTTTTCAATATAAGTATTTTTCATTTCCGTTTGATTCAATAAATTTACCGGGAATTTATTTGTGCTGTTACAACATTGTTTTCGAATGAGTTACTTTCAGATATATGTAATGGATTATGTAACCGATACTATTAATTTTTAGGACGCCATGCAATATGCCTGGGATTCTCGGGATCCTGAGACAGCTGAGGAATTACTTCGTTGGTTCCTTTCCGAAAATCTTCCAGATTGTTTTGCAGCCTGTCTCTACCGTTGTTACGATCTACTGCGTCCAGATGTTGTCTTGGAACTTGCTTGGCGCAATGGACTTATTGACATGGCTATGCCATTCTTAATTCAGACTTTGAGAGAATTAACAACAAAAGTATGTTGTGTATTGATAAGTTTTCCTGTTTCGATTGCTTTGTTTTATTTATTGTTTCTTTCAATTGCTAAAACCATTGTCTCTTAAATTCACTTTTTTATGGCGCCTATTTCATTGGGGAATTATTGATAAAAGAAGCATTGAAATAGGTGGTAGTATTTATTAAAACACTGTATATAAGTAACCAAAATCTCATTTCCTTGCTGATTTTTCAATCAGGTGGACCGTCTAGAACGCTCCGAACAAACACGTGCTGCGGAGGAAGAGAAAGCTGAACAGGCAGTTAATCCGCTAGTGATGCGTAAGTTTTTTCCTGAAATTGTTCTGTGAACTTTTATAATTGATATTACTTAAGAGTATCCTAATAAACCAGAGAAAATCAAGAATCAGTTCTTAACTGAAGATAGTAATTTTTAGGCTAATTCAAACTTTTAACATATTTTCTTTCCTTATTTAGGAACTGAACCTCAGCTAATGTTACCAGGACCAGCAGGATCTATGCCAGCTGCCTTAATCCCACCAGCGGGCGCAGCGATTGGGATGTTTGGAGTTACTGGCCCACAAATGTATTATCAAACAAACGGACCATCTTTTTAAAATGGTTTTTATCTATTGTGATACATTAAACTTGTTATCAGACTGTTATCTGTTTATTACTTATATAATTTTTTCTTTAGCCGGAATGTGCTGGTTTCCTGTTTTAAAGTTTAATCTATCTGCCAAAATTTCCAACTATTGATAATTGGTTGTAAAAGGTGGGTTTTTAATCAAAAGTTCCATGTTTATGACCATGTTAAAAGTCTCAAATTTGCTTAAATAGTTTTTTTTCTACTGGTTCTGAAACTCAGTGCTTTCTTTGATTAGTGATCGGGAACCTACAAAACGTGATTATCTATAAATTGTATAGTATTACTATATATCAACGTTAAATAGCTTGTAATTGATGAAGTCATGGAAATCTCAACTTTTGATATGGTTGAATGCTCGACGGATTTCTGTTTGGATTGTTTCGCTTCAGTGATTTCCATTCATTCGCTATTAATCAACGTAAATACTGAATGGATTGTGCAAAAGTTGTTATTTTAAAAATTCTACCGAATGTTATTTTTAACGACGAGTGATCATGTATGGGACCAATAACGAAAATCAATATATGCTGCATGGCTTTTCTATTGTAGATATCACTACTTGTCAGATGACCGAATTTATTTTGTTACTTTGATGTGATTGTACTAGGTTTTTAATTAATCTCTATTAAGCGGCTGATATTTTCAGTGCGATATAACTTGGGCCTCTATATCACATAGAACAATTATATTAATTTTCCTTTATGCTTTCTGATTGTCAGCTACCTTAAAAATATAGCTTGTAAACATCTAGATAAGTAATGTACCAAATCGAATTCGCATGACAAAACTTTAATGCCTCATAATGTGTGTATTTAGTTGGATGTATCCTGCTAAACCTTCAATAACAAGAAAATTCTAACTTATTATACAATCATAGCTGATGCTATGCTCTACGGATTCACACAAGTAATAAGTGGTACATCCTGGTTTGAAGCACTTAGGCCTTAGAGTAATAATATCTCATCATCCTCACTGCGTTCTCAAGTTTTGAGTTAACCATGTTATTTTCATAAATTGGTTAACGTTAAGATTTTTGTGTGTATAAATAAGGACGGGAAATTTGAAAGTTCTGAACATTTGTAATCAACAGAAGTTTACTTACAATTATAGTGTTAATAAAATAGTTGTTCTCTTCATTGTTTTTTTCGAAACCATTATCTATCCATTCGAAGCGATTTTATTTTTATTACATCGTTCACTTTTTAATAGCTTGATCTTATATATATGTGCTTTCGCAGTTATTTCACAATGGTACTCTTGTTTTTCATATTTTTTTCCTTTCTTAGGCTCCTCTTCCTCTCCAATTAAAGAGTACTCGAAAGAGATGCAGCCTTCTCCAATGATTAATTTTTAAAATTTGTAGTAAAAGTAATTATGTAGCGTAAACAAACCGTTCATTGGTCAACGGTTAAGATATGTTTCATGTATCATTATTGTATTAATATGATTGACATATGTTTGTAATTGTTTCTCTGGATATGTTAGTATATTCACATTCTAAACATTTCCCAACTTCAAAATTAATGTATTCTCGTTCGAATGAGGGAACGTCTATTCATTCCATTTATGTCCAGTCTTTTTGGCCAATTCATCAAATCATTGTTGCAACTATTTCATTACTTATTTATTCATAATACTTGCTCTTATTGTAATATTTTTTCTTCGTAGGTCATTTTCTGTTTTTTCTTTCTCAGTGGTGTCTTTTTAAAAAAACTTCGTGTGACGCGTTATAGGGATGCTCACGTTCATCATTATATTTATTATCCTTTGGAGTTTGAACAAGTAGTAAATTACTCAATATACTTGAAATTGAATATCACTGTTTGAGAACTTATTAATTCGTCTGTATTTATAATCTAAAGGTACTTCTATACATCTGATATTATCCACTTATAATGAAGTCTCTCATCAGAAAATATATATGATTTCACAGTTTTGAATGTCAATTTTGATATTTCGGGATATTAATCTTCCGTTGAATTTACAGTTTATTGTTTATTAGACTAAGGAAATATTGATTAATACGGTATAGGAACACTGTATTGTTTGTGATATTAGCACATATCAATTCAAGTGCTATGAAATTATTTTTAATGAACTGGTTACACGTTTTTCATTCTTGGTCGAATTCATCTTACTATACTAATCACAAACTAGCTTTCAGCTGTTCAATGGGTTATATAAATATACGTATTCCACATTTCACCCTCGTGCCAAGTAGATCTTAATAATAGTAACATGGCATTATCACTTAATTTTTTTCAGAACTTTAAATGTTGATGTCATTTTATGTTGTTGTGACGTTTGTTTTGCTACTAATGATTTGTTTAGTTTTACTGATCCCATGGGTTATTAGGGACTTTTTTTATATATATCGAGCCGTAGATAGTGTAATTGTGATTTACTGTTACCCCCAGTACATGTGTCTGTTCGAGATTTGGATATTTTTCGGATCTTAATTAATCTTAGGTGTTTGTTTAATATATTTGGTGATTCAGTGGAAGAAACTAGAAGCACCAACTTAGTATCTTTTATATGCACATTTACGGGACAATTATCCAATTTGGCGCGGACCAGTTCAAAGTTAATTTCTTCCTAAACATTTATGTATAGTTGCTTAAATATCGCCTAACTAGAGCTCGGATATTCGTAAATAGAAACGTTTCCACTTATGAAAATAACATATATCAGCACGACTTTTAGCCTGCAGAAAATAAGCTTATTATAATCAGAAAAATGGAAAAACTACATGATACTTGTACATTTAACATATTGTGTTGGATTTAATAGCAATCTAGTGCATTATGTTATGTTCTGCGATTTAAGAATATTGACTGGTTTTTTACTCAGTAAAACCATGTTTTCATATAAAGGTAAAGGTTGTAATTCCCACTAAACGAAATCTACCGAAAGTGGAATGGAATTGTGAAACCTGACCACTCCGAATTGGTGTTCTCTATAGTTAGTCGATTTCTTGCTTTAGTCTCATTCACATCTTCTTACGGTTTGTTACTCTGGTTCACAAAGTCCATAGTTCTGTTTTGCACTTATTTTTGTAGGTCATAGAGATAATGATCGTCTATTGATTGAAACAAGAGGAACGTCATTCATTATTGGATGTAGAATGTACTCTCAGATATCACCTTTCGTAATTGGTAAATCTGTTGTCTTAATGGTATAGAGTACTACTCGTAATTTACAAGTTTTAGATAAAATCAGTGACTAGATAATCGGAGGAAAATGATTGAGCACTAGTCACATAGTGAACGGATAAAAATTTCCCTTTTTCGCAATGCTTTTTTGACAATCCTAATGAAGATACCTGGAAAGCTTTGCCTTTTGCATACGGCTTTATCTTGGGAATTATTGATGTCTTCATAAAATTGTTTATCTATCGTTTTTGTCCTCAACGGAATTTTCATTAAATTCCATGTGAATACTTGTGATATTAATCTACCGTATATCACTATCGCTAAACAGCTATAATAGTTATCTACAATACGATATATTCCTTTCCAATATTTTTAAATTGTTGAAAAATAATGACCTTATCGGGGAACTCAAGTATACGATCCTAATAGACCTCGCAAAATTGGATTAATGGAACTGTTACTCCATGTATGTTTTCTCAGCCCTGTCAGAGTTAGACTAACACTTAGTGGATGGTGTTAGTTAGCCACTGAGCAATGGCATAGTTTTGAATTAACTAATTATGCGGAACTGATGTGAAGGTAGCATATATCTTACTAGTTGCACATAAAATGCAACTGTGTGCTTTTCACTGATATGACTACATTTCCTGCCATCCCAATATCTTTTTGTGTAAGGAATTTGTCTAATAAATTCGATGTCAGCTTCACAGTCGTAATCTCGTGGATGGCTTGCTTCATCAAATCAAGATAAAGGTATAAGTTCGTAATGGAAATAGGATTAGTCATATTCTTAACTACTTTGTTAATTTTTTATCGTTCGAACAGTGGTTATTCCCGTGTAGTTATTAACAGGCATTGCTCTCTTGCGCAGTACAAGGAAACGTATTATCGGGCATTCGCTCACTTCGAAACTTTATTCATAACTACCAGAAAAAAGTAGTGATTTACACATCTGTAGTAGTCTTGATTATGTGTAAGCTTTTGCCCAAAGATTGTTGCAATTAAAGATAACTTCAAATCATTCGCTAAAGTGACTACCTAGTTCATAAGTAAAAGCTTGTAATTCTGAAGCGGTTTACGGTTAATGGTGGTGTAATAATCCGTGTGAAAACCTAAATAAGGCAACTTGCATGTTTTTCTACTGAACACATAACTATCTGGGTTGGAAGCATTCTGCAGAAAAACAATTTTCTTTATTCATCTGTGATAGCATTTCATTTATGAATTGTACTAAAAAGTTGTTTGTAATGAAGCTAACTGAATATTCATATTCTAAACGCAAACCATTGCGGGTGTACATGCCCTGTCGATGTACATAGCTCCATTCATTTCCTTGTTAATTGGTATAAAAAATTCTCTGATTTAGCAATATCAGAGTAAAGTTGGTAATTTGTCAAATATTAAAAATATGTAGTTTTTGACCTATAACATAATCCTGAAGTACCAGCAGCCACAATCTTTTGCTTGAGGTATTGTGTAAGGTAACCTTGGGGACAGAATTTTCATAACCGCCTTAATTTGTTTTTCTGTTTATGCTGAGTCATATGTCGAACTTCAATAGTTATTTATGTTCAGAAAAACTAGACTTATTTGTGACGCGTTCAAGAAACCAGTTACATAATATTTTTACCGTACATAATGCAACGGTTTGGCTTTGTCATCGAATATTCAACACAATATTGTTTTATCATAAAAAGAGCAAAATCTGCTGTGTAGTTACCAACACGTTTATTATTTTCCAATCAATCTTCAGTAAATAGGAAATGGAAGAATCAGAATTCGCGTAATTGTTTTAAGATATCATTTAAATAAATTA